AATTGGATTATTAGATCTGCTCGTGTATTATCCATTATGAACTTTATGAACGTAGTTAAGAATAAAGATATTAATTATATAAAGATAGGAAATTACATTCGATCACATGCACTTCAGCATTAGTAGATCAAAGAATGACTTAGCGAATTAGCTGTTGAATAAAGTGATATCGTATATTACACCAATTTTAAATGACTTGTCGTGGAAAGTGTTTGAATTCGTTTTATTTATGGAAAGAAATAGACATGTTTGTGAACGAGAAAATAAATCATCTGCCCATGAATTAACCTTTAACTCTTCACCGCGCGCGTGCACTGTTTTGGATAATCCTGAACACTTTCGCGTGCAAATCTGTCGACAGTCGAATAAATCAGGCCACATAATCCTAGGGACATATTTTCTCATCAGATGTTGCTGTCTAAAATTTCATGTGTGGTGTGTAATTTGATTGAAGAATGAACGGCTTGCAGGAGCGGACTTGACACCATCGTGTGTCTACTTCGAGAAAATAACTCTTCAGCACAAGGAACTCTTCTTCAAAAACATTGTATATGTATTACTATATAGTGTGTATTTTATCATTATTAGTCTTTGATGTTAATTTTTATAAGAAACTGGCATTGAATTGTTGCAGGAATTAATTTCTGAAGAATTCTGAGGGCATCTAGATAGGTTTCTAGATATTTTTCATTAAAAGTTGAGAAATACTTGTTCTTCCCCATGATTCCACTATTCACTTTCAATGGAAAATATTCATTAGATTTAAATAATTTCTTTCTTTTAAAATTGCTAAAAACGTTTACTTCACCTGATGTTTTAGTTATATACATAAGTAAATTAAAATACATAAAAATAATTTCCTTTTCGATCATACTTAGCAGAATGAGGCTGTTTTAGGAATGTAGTATCGAATGTAATCGGCGTAGTGTTCATGAGTCACCACGTGGATCGCTGACCAACACGTCGTCATAGGGCATTTGACACGGAGCTACTCTATAATACTGTAGCGTCGTGCCACGCTCATACGCCGGATGTTAAACAAAGGGCGGAGTGATGACGCACTGGGACTTTCCGTGGATGTAGCGGGCCCAGAGCGGCTTTGAGGAGGAGGCAATGGGGGCGGCGAGTAGAGCCAAAAGGGCCTATATAAGGTCAGGAGAACAATGCCCCAGTCTTCTTGTGCTAACGGCGTCGGCGACAGGTGAAGCGCTTGTCTGTGCGTGTAGGTGCACTAGGGCGAGGGGCCGGCAATTTATTGTCGTGACTTGCGAGACGCGTAGATGGTCTCAAAGTAGAGCGGTTTCATACAGGGAACATCGATGGTATGTTGCGGTGTGGTAGCCGTTCTCAAATTATCTCTCCTTGTAGTGGGTCTATTTATTTAGTTTATTGTGAGCAGGGTAGTTGTTAAATTGAGACTACGGTCTAGATTGTTAATAAATCTACTGTTTTACAAACCACTCTCGTCTGTGTTCGATTACACCCGTATGACGCCACAATACATATACTTTGCTTTAACCATGGCAATGTTATCTTTGTGTGCTGAAAAATGTCTACTGCAATATATGCAGAATTGTTAGATTTTCTAACAGCGCGGGTAATGGCGGATTACGTGTTACATGGTGAACGCGTGTTTCAGAATCATATCATGTACTTGCCACTTAATTCCAGGAGAGGGTGAAGAATTTACCCATTTCTTTGTTTGGTCAGAGTACACTGGTGTCCACATGCACACGCATTACCTACATAATATTCACACTCTCATTTATTTTAATCAAGGTTCAATGGTGATCCCATCTTGGCTGGTATCTGGATTGCTAGAAGCCTAAGGTATTATATAAACTTCATGAATGACTGAATTCCAATAGTGACCTCCAGCACCTGTCCGTTTCATTTTTCCTTCCGAATATCTTCCAACACGTCCCAAATAGGATGGCTTTAAAAGGTGTGCTAGAACCATGTAGTACAAACTAACGCCAGAATAATTCTTTGAAATTACCCAACGACCATGTAAGTATACAAGAGTAAACAGTTTATAACCAACTGTAGGAGGTATTCGTTTTCTGTTCAATGGGCAAGTTCAGTGCAGCATTCTCCATTAGTGCATCCTCAGCCTCCTCCTAACTACAGTGCAACCATTTTTTAAATGAGTCGGTCGCACGGAGTTTGACCTGGGCGAACGCGGCCACGGATGCCGGGGCAATCGAGCCAGGGCGGTCGCAAGAATCTCCGAAGAGGGAAGGTGGCTTTTCGCTACCGGAAAGTTTAAATTGTTCTTGCGTTATAGTACATGCTGGAACTACTCACCATTGACTCTGGTGTATTCTTGACATCTACACAAGTTTTGATTCACTCGGTAAAGATGTTCTGTGGTCTTGCAGAGATCTGTTCTTGTATATTGTGCTGTAATTCTTCCGTGTGAGGATTTGTCGCAAAAATGCGATCTTTCAGGAATCCCCAAAGAAATAACTCACCCAGATTCAAATCAGGGGAGGGTGCAGACCACAAACCACGTATGATAATTGTGTCCTAACAAACTGTGTGTAAACCTTAAGGAAACTGAAGCAGTGTGTGCGGTTGGGGAGTCCAATTGCAAATGACCGTAATTAGCTTTTTATTTGTCAACATTTGAAAGCAAGGCTCCATGATACGATGCACATTGCGGTTAGACACATTTTACGTATATGTCGGACTTTCTGATTGAAATTGTACTTCGAGCGGGCCATCACAATCCGACTATTCAACAAGACTGGAAAGCTTGGCTTTTTGCAGCGACCTTGAAACTCTCCCGCCCCAGCATCTCCAAGGGAGTTCAGCGCCCCGTTCCCGGGCGAAAGTGGGCCCGTCCACCGAACAGATTTTCCCACGAACGCGGCACACTAATAAAAAAGTCGCACTCTACAACACATTAACATTAATTTTTAATATCATTGGTTGGATCTTTTTCTTCCTTTTTTTCATAAATCTTTCTTTATAGAACCTCTCTTCATTATTTCATATTTTCGGGTGCACCAACTACTGTGGTCATTAGTTAAGTATATTGCATGTTTTTCTCAAGGGAGGTGGCGATGTTCTTCCTCCACTGGATTGTGATATTCGGCGCCGACCTACCCGTTGACTTGTGGGGTTTTCCCCAATCTTGTACCTCTTTCTTGAGGGGCATCGCTTCAACCCGGACAAGGGACCGACGTGTGTTGTATAGTGCGTTTAAGTGTCTACGTAAAGGGTGAGGATAGAATAAATAGGAAGAAACGATCGCGCCAAGTCCATGGCTCGATTCTTAGGGTGCTGCTCCGGCACTCGCTTGGTTTTGATCGGAGAAGCCGGTTGCTAGAATTCCCCTCAGACGGCAGCTGAACTCGACCCTAGTTATCTGTTTAGTCACAAATCCTGCCAGGGTCAGAGGCACTGCAGAGAGAGTTAATGCCTTGAGCCACCTCTGCTGGTCAGAACATCTCTTGATACGAAACTTTAAAATATGTGCCATTCCCCTTGATCATATCTCTTTTATCAGCATCTCTTAGATGCACCATTCCCATTCTCCATCAGTCTGTATTGTGTCATAAACTGAACAGGAACAATAGAATCACTCATTTAAGACAATTACACAATGTGTTTCAAAAAATACATTTCTAGTTAGTACTTAAAAGAACATTTAATTCCAAAAACGAAGCAGTTTATATTTATTCCATTTATTCTATTTCAAAATTTTGTCAGAGTTCCTGGAAGTTTAGTCCAATGTCATTGTCTAAATATTTGAATGTTGATACTTGCTCTATTACTTCCCCTTCAATGACTATCTTCACTATTCTTAGTTCCTTTTCTCGGAATGTCATTGTTTTTGTTTCATTTTTGTCGAGACTTATGTCATGCGTCTTGGCTATTTTATTCAGTTCATGTGTTGCTATTTGGAGTTCATCTTCTGATTCCGCCAAAATTATTTGGTCATGTGGAAACAGGAATTCCAAATAGGTTATTCGTTAAAACGCAAAAGTGAAAGTCCCGTGCTTCCATGTCAGGTAAGAATATTGCGCACCAAGCCCACTGTTGGAGTCTACACTACATCAATTCAAAAATAGGTAAAGATTAGATTAAATTTTTTTTTTAAGTAAATTCAGAAATTCAAAATCATCCCAATGTGTTTTCCTGTGTTATGCACGGTTTGGCCAGATATCATGCATGGTTCCATTCTTCTCCCTGTTTCAGAGCACCCAAGCAAACTGCCAAAATCAACAACAAGGATAGTCAGGTGTGGAGCGCCCAAGTAATGTAAATATGGCCCGCATCCATATTAAAGGTTTTAGTTTTTTGGCCCTTGAGATCTTACAAGTAGGACACCCCTAGTGAATACCAATAATTCAATTAATTTTTAAATTGATGTAAAATGGCAAATGATGAAAACGATGACAAATCTGATCAATTACAAAAACAATAAGAGAAATGACACTTATTTGGGGAGTGGAAAAATAGAAATGCAAAATAAGTAAATTGAAATAGGGAGAAAATATTTGATAAACCCAAAATATACCCCAAGACATGCATTATTTCTTCTATTCTTCAAAATAAATAAATAAGCACAATTTTTTTGAAGTAATCTTCTCAATGCTCCATAACTTTGTAGGCATAACAGCATTGCCCCTTTTCTATTGTTAATCTATTACATATTCTTATTCAAAAACATTATGCTGTAGTTAAAATTATTTTGAATTAATTTATGGGTTTCCGACTAACAGAAAAATTACAATTCTTGGAACATACTTTTGCTGTTTTACCTCAATCTGATATTTCAGATACATATGATCATTACATGAACTGGAAATTGAATCACTGCTTTCAAAATGATATCTTTAAATAAAATATTTTAAAATTATATAATAAACCACACTTCCATTAAGGATTGAAACCAAACCTTTCAGTAAATCATAAAGCTACATTATACCTCAGGGGACCACTTATTTTCCTGTTACACATAACATAACGAAATTAATGAAACAATGAAATTTTTATTTAGAAAAAATTTATTGATATTCTTAAACAACTCATCCTTGATATTTTCAAGTATAAAAATTATTTACACATCAAATACGATTTATTCAGAACTTTATAATCACATTTAATCATAACAATTCCATAGTTTCAATGCATGCTCACATATTCTCTCTTGAGCTCACACATCATTACAGTACTATATTCCATTACCCTTAAAGCCAATTCATGAACTTTCTTTTTGAGGAATGCACATATAATGAATAACAAAAATTAAAGGTGTGTACTTTACTTGCAATTACAATGATTAATATAAAAATATTCATTTGCCAATTGATGCAAATATAAACATTTTACATATTTGTGTTCTGAATGGCGCATACTGAAGAGCATGGAATATACTGTTGATGCACTCACAAAACATCTTAATAAAGATAATGTAAAGGAATTACAAATGATATGCTGCTCGTTTTAAATATTGAAGTCTCATTTGATTCCTACGAGAACTATATGGGTTAGGAGCATAACCAATAGTTCCTTGCATTTTCATTGTGCACAAGATTTCAGGATCAATAGGTGGTGTTTTCCTGGAACAGAGCAATTAAAAGTTATGGTATGTTCAGCAATGAAAAGTAAGTTTGTTCTATGCCTGCCACCACAAACAAAAATGTATACTTTTATACAATGACTCCTAGTGGCAGATATAAAAAGTCTTCTACAGGGGGGTATTTCAGTTCAGTCCTGCCCTCAATAAATTGGTTTTAAAAAAAAAAATTTAAAAAAAAAAGTCAAATTTTCAAATGTGGCTGAATAGGAGGCATGTACAAGATTAAAATACACCACTCTTTTCTCACTTTTTATTGTTTAGGTCAGTTCCTCTCAAAAAGATAAAGAGTATTGAAGGGCTTGTTATCTAATACCTTTAATAGAGATGGTGTCTCTGGCAGCGACCATCCAAATTCCCATAATGAAGCAAATCATGCTCCACAAAGAGATATAGGATTCTTGGCTTTTCATTTGTTTACAGTGTTCACAGATAGAGGAAGGTTCTCCTTGCAGGAGGTAGTTATGTGAAAAATATCAACGACTAATACAATGATGTGTTAAAATTACTTCTGGGAACGTTATTAATCAAACTCAATTTAAATTGGTATTCTGCATTACCAGAACTCCTAGAGGTGTGATGCAGGTCCAAAGGGAATATTGACATCAGGCTTCTGAGTTGTCACTTGCATGGATCGCTCAGTTTCTTTCCTGTGATTTCCACATTAATTGGAATCCAAGAAATGATCGAATTGCAGAGCCAAACAATTAGTGATGAAACTCCAGGTTTCTTCCCACCATTGTACATAACCTCTTTTAAAGATCGGAATTTTTGCGTTAGATTTTATTTAAGACAAAAATCTCCACCTTCAAATTGTAGTTTTGCAATGTTAACATTTTAGCAATTTTCAAAAAAACAGAGTGTTGGCCGGAAAAGGAAGTAACACCACTTTTTTTACCATTCTTTAATAGAGACAGGAAAACATTGCCTAAATTTCACAAACCACACTCCGAAACCTCAAACCATTAGGAAGATATTTGCTGAGGCCAACTGGGATAGTCCACCTGTATGTTTGTAATTTAGAATTTGAATGTTGGCATGTAAATTACTATGAAAATTTACTGGTGGAAAGTTTACTTCGTACACGAGTTACTTTACACAAATTATTTTTTGAGAGTTTTGTTTGCATTAGGGGTTTGAACAGGTTTTTCAAATTTCTGACTAGCTCACTTACTATTCATCTGGACTACATTACCTACCAGGACACTAATGAACAAGTGTAAAATGTAATCAAAAAGATCGAATTTTATTTGAGTACAAGCAAAATTTGAGTGTATTTTGTGTGGATTAGAGACATTAGCGTGAAGATATGTTACTCTGTCAGCAGTACCATAAAATAAAATCTAGGTCATTTGTCAATGAAAACGGCTTGCATTATAGGGAACTGCATATTTCTTGTTATAAAATTATGTTGAAAAACATTCCTTGGTACCGTTACTCTTATTGACAACTTGGTGTAGTAAAACACAGGGGCAGGATTTCTGCACCTCAAGAAAACCGTGTGCAGATTGTCCCACACATAGCACACTCAGTTTTTAACTGTGGACTTTAACTGTTCTCATGTTAAAAAAATAAATTACCTGTATGTCCTTTGGACAAGTTCTTCTGGCCAATCAGATAACAGTGGTGTCCCGTGAACTGGGTATGGAAGAGGTATGGATGCAATGGGGGAATCCATATCATCAATGCTCATAGGAGGTAATGATTCTACAGGGTCTGCAAATTCTGTTTCTTGAGAAAATGTATTAAACATAGCAGCATGTGCATTTGATGTGTATAAATGAACGGTGCCAGCTGCATCTCCAAATATTAAGTATTGACAGGATGATGATACATCAAATGACAAGCACATGACACCACCAGTATTGATCTGTAATAGAAAAAAGTATGACACAATTTGTCTTTTAAAATTAATAAATTATTTATTTTCCTTTCAGTACTCACATGATACAGATCAGGTTGCTGAGCAATTGCAACAGTGTCGACCAGCTGCATTTGCCCTATACCAGATACAATTGCTAACCGTGAAGAAAATGATGGTAGAAATCGTAGAAGTAAAGGATCAAGCATTAACTGAATGGGTGTGATGGCTCGCATCATACGCAAATCATAAACCATGAGGAATCTATCAACAGACAGTCCTCCTTGCCTAAAAATAAACGTGAAATATTGAAGTTTTAAAATAAATATAACAAATAATTTTAATATTGAAGCTGCATATACAAAGCTTACCTCTTTGAAAAACCACATGTAACTAAAGTATTTCCATGAACATCAAAATCAGACAGGCTTCCAGAATGTGCATCCAAAATATGCTCAATTTTTAAGGAATTAAGAGCTCTGAGCTCAATCCGGCCGGATGGATCACCAGCACAAATAAATCGCCCATGTTGCCGCAATATGGCACATCCACTAGAACTGGTAGAATGCTGAAAATTTAATGATTTGCATTAAGGTAACAAATTTTATATAAATCCTGATCACAAAAACTCCTGACAAACAATTTTAAAGAGAATATGATTTGTTTCGCAGCATTACCTCTCTGGGCAGTTATTTACAACAGAGACTTACACTTCTTTGAAGTCACCTGGGAAACTTGGGTATTTTATTTAACAAAACTTGGCACGTTCTTTGTCCATTGTTTGCCCAACCAAAATTTTCTTTGCCAACCCACACAAAAAAATTAGAAGCAAGTAACTTTTCGGGTCAAATTACACAAGTCATGGAAATTGAGGTGTTATGAAAAAACGTGGCACATTGTTTTGGTGTTTTGAACTGTGGAGGCAGTGGTGGCAGTAACGGCTACAACTGTCCTGAGGGCGGTAATCTCACCACCTGCCCATAGAGACCACGGCCACAAGCACCTAAGGAAATACAATGTCGGTGGGCATTCACCTGTATGCCTCTTGGATTCATTGTAGCCATCAATTAATTTGACTAAAAGCAGAGATGTTTGAGTTGTAAGAGCAGATATTATGTTGTAATAATATGTAATTTCCTTTTCAACTAATTTGTTCATATCAGAAGTTCTGCAAACTCTTTCAAAATTTCTTCTCTTCCAATATGCCTGATTACATTCTTTATTAAAATTAGCTTCTCTCTTTTTCTCGTGATCTAATGAAACCTCTCACGTTCTCCTTTATTTCCCGGCAACTGCATAGCTATAAGAGAGGGAAAAAAAGGCAAACAAGTGTTTTGCTTCTAAGGCACCACCGTCTGACCGCAGAGTGGCTAAGTTCATCAACAGACATCAGGGTCTCGTGGCTCCGGTTGGTAGTGTTATAATACAATTTCCAATAAAACAGCACATTCCATGTGTTAAGATTAACTGGTAAATGGAACCCTTCAATTTAATGATTAAGGCGGCAACATCATTTAAATTCTTAACAAGCGTACAAAGATATGGCTTGGATTGCAGTGATATCTACAGAAAACTATCTTAGAGATGATTTCATTCTTTTTCAGTACATGATCTTTTAATAATTGTTTTATTCAGATTTTTTAATGTAGCTCAATGCCTGAGCGGTTAATGCTACTACAAGTGTATGCTTCAAATTTGAACGCTCTTCAGTTTCCAAACGCAGTTAGGAGTAATTGGCAGTGTATATTTACGTCCTGTGAACAGATTTTCACAAATAAGCGTGGAAGCCATACACACAAGTAAATGCAAAAATTGTGCACTTTTTTCTAGTGAGTCAAATTTTTCAATTTTTTTGGACACCGTAGTTCGCAATCATCACAATGCAGTTTCAATGGTTCGAGTAAGTGTGGACGTCACTTTGTTACTTCAAATGTGAGTTTGGTTGGAAATTAGAGATGCTCATCGAGGGTGGAAGGCAAATAATTCAGTACTAGTGAGTATTTTTGATGCAAAGAGTGAGATGATAAACTGACTTCCACATTCTTAGTATTGTTTACATTCACTCTTTTCTCAGGTTGGATAAAGAAAAGTACTTTAAACTTGTTAAGCGCACATTTCCAAGATGCAATATGTCCTCTTTCTTTCAGTACATGGCACGCGCATCTTTGTTATCATCTAAAAAATAATGTACTAATTCTAATTTTCTTCTGAATCTTAATGTTCACAGATGCAGAAATAGATTGACTATTTGTTTCATAAGGTAGAGGTTAAAACTGAACTTCAATTCCTACCAATAATGAAATGTTATTCAATCATATTATTTGACATTGATAAATTAATAGTTATTTATAAAACAAGGGGTTTAAGGAGAGCTTTATTTACGAGGGTGAACAGTCATGTCCCAAGCGCAGCAGCGCAAGGAACATAATTATTCTCTTGAGTGAATAAAACTCAGGTAAATCCCCTGTCATATTCAAAGCTTTATTTTTAAACCATATTTCTTCGCATGCACATCTATGCCACGAAGGAGGAAGCAGTAAAGTAGACAGCACACATCTTTCTGAAGTCTACCTTCAGGTGGCTGTGATTGCTGCTGCTTTGCATTCTGCATGGAAGAATGGAGGAATTATCGAATCAGACAAATGATACATATTATTAAGACTTTGAAGATGAATATCTACACATCCTAATAATATCATGAAAGAAGCAGAATATGACGTTGCAAAATTATTCTCTGAAAAATCGAGGCGTGTACGAAAAAGAGTATGAATGTGTCTTCAAATGGAAAAATGACAGGAAAGTAAGTTCAGAAGAAATTGTACTTGTGTATTTTAAAGAGAAATCAGAAACACAAGTCTTCAACGTTTTGGAGGTATTATTCGAACGTTACAGGTCAAGGAAAATGTTGATATCTTTATGTATGTATGTATGTATGTATGTATTTCTCTAGGAAAAATGGTTCATGATGAATATTCAACACTTTAATTGATAATGATATTCTTAGCTTTTTAGATGTTGTAAATTGAAGGTATTTTTGAAGAGACTGGAAAAGGCTATTAGCCCAGAAAACTAAGACTTTTACAAGACTTGAATTTTACAGATTTGTTAAAGACGCTTGTGACAATCAGTACTTACTGTTGGAGGTTAGTTTTTAACTTACAAATATGTATTCTCTTAGATTTATGGTATATCCAAACACACTTTTGTCAGATTGTAATGATAACGGGAATCCCTGGTAGGTGTAGTTACTTTAATCCTGGGAGCAATACAGACACATTTTAACATAAGAAAAAGTGTGATTAAAGCGGAACTTAATCGTGTTTAAAAATAAAACTATTTACATTAGGTCGTTGAGGTATTAGAGCCCTACAAATAACAGAGTCATTAAAATATCGAAGAAGTATTCACAGAAGACACGAAGAATGACAGAATAATTAATTACCATCTGATGGGCAAGTGTACAACAGGCACGATTGGCATGAATTAATGAAACAGCAGTAATAAATAAAAAAGTTGTTTAAACATTTAAGTGTTGAGGAAAACTACATTTTCATCTCAGATGTGTTTTAAACAAACAAGAACAAACATTAACAAAACTGGTGTTAACTTGTGATTTCCAAATCTTAAAGAGGATATATATATAGTTACATGGAATGTCCCACTATATGAAAATTAACACATGATCTTCGTCACACATACACGTCCTAGAAGTTTATAATATTTATTCTGAAACATCCTGCCTGAAACACACACACACATGCAAATTGCATTATACAAGGACTACACATCCAACTGCAACAGTATTTATGAAACCTACCAACATCCACAAGGAAATACTCTCAAGTTGCTCACATGATAAGTAGCACAAGATGATTTCGCAAAGATGTGTAGGTGACACATAATAAAAGTCACATATGAACGTGTACCAAATTTCAACAAATTTTTCATCCTTCGTCATGCAGGATATCATCCACAAACCATTAGAAATAGGAATCCAAGCTTACTTGACTGAGATAAGAATGTAGTCTCCTAAATAGAAGTAGTGTATGAGGACCGTTTTCAGGGACTAATTAGAAAGATTGCTCATAAAGAGTTTTTCAATATGGCAAGTCCACAACTAGAAAGAGGCTAGAAATTCTGCAATAACCACCAATAATTCCAAATGTGTTCCAGATTCATTTCACTTCGAATGGATAACGTAATCAAACGTTCTTACTGAATGTTGTAGTTCATACCTCACCAGTTTCCTGACATTCATTCAAATTAAATTCGATTATTTTTTCCTGGTGGCCTCCCATCAACACAATATCTGGCGCTATTTGCAAAAGGCACAGCATATCCACCATATTGTCAGATCTGAAAAATAATAATGTAAAAAACATTTGCAACACATAGATTCAGAAATTAAATGACCAAGTGAATTATTAATACTTGATTACCCATGAGTAAATAATGGTATTCCTCGCCGCATTTGACACCGCAATGAATTCTGTGTAAGAGCCAAAATGCTATCATCTAGAGAAGCAATTTGTCGCACTTCTTGAGTATTATGTACTCGGAAAGAGGTGTGTTTCTGCATACCAGGACCATAATATGATGTCACATGACCCTGAAAAGAAATATAATAAGTTTTTATTTTCCGGTAGGATATACATCAATTGGCTCCTTAAGTTTTTTCCAGAGATGTCACTGTAATATAATGTTTGAACCACATATTCTGCATGTTTTCATAGAATTTCTTATGAGGAGTTTCCTATCAAAACCAGCTCATTACATCTGGAATGTTTTATGAGAAACAAACATCTCCTAGCGTCCACAGACAGAAATGAACAGGATACATTCCCCACACCATGTGGGAATGAGTGGGATTTGAACTATTAATCCCTCGCAAGGCTATGAAGGAACCCCTAAACTTACCAAAAACGTAGAAAGGAATGTTGGTAAATAATTGAAGGAGCAAGTATTGACCACACCTCAGATATGGCATTGCAGTCTTTTCTACCCAACAGGGCCAATGCAACCGACCAGACTGGCCAGGAAGTGTTTCCCGGCAGGAGACCGAAAACTAACTGTCGGTGAGGTTGTAAAAAATTAAATTCATAAAAATATTGCAACAAGCCTCCCTTCACACTCGTTACCATCAGCTAAAGAAATTTATAGGGTTCCATTTAAAAAATCAAAGTTGTGTCATTATCTCTTAAAACAAAAATAGCTATGGTTTTTATAAATTATTATACTGTGTGTCCCACAAAACATGCTCATAACATGATATACAGATGTCCCACCAACTATGGGCCACCCCCATAACTTCTAAACGGCTCACGATATCGAAATGCAGTTTTCGCTCAACAATGTGGAATCATGCGACAAGTAATATGCAATACAGATATTGCTCGGAATATTTTGTTTTCATTAAATTTAATCTTTGATTTTTTAAATGGATATCTATTTTTCTCACTAACAACAATAGAAAGAGTATTTCAATGATATTTCATTAGATAATGTTTTGATAGAAATTTGGCAATAAAATACTACTTCCCAATAAGTTGTTTTAAATTAAAACCGATCAAAATTTCCACAGCCCTTGCAACTATCACTGTTTGGAAAAGTGGCCTTCGTGGTGCCGAGACTTCCACGCGATAACTGAATTTCGATATCGTGAACCGTTTAGTCGTTATGGGGGTGGCCCATAGTTGGTGAGACACCTGCATACCCTCGAATATTTGCGTTTTAATGAAAACAGCATCTCAATGGTGCAACGGTTCAGGAGATACTCTAAGGGAACATCTTAAATGAACAACCCTGACTATAAACATTCTGAAAGACAATTTGCAGCCAAGTGTTAGTAAACTGGGCCCGGGACGAAATTGTATTTTCCAACAAGACTATGAACCACGGACGTAGCGTGACTTTCGTAACAAGGGAAGCTTTAGTTTTAAGCTGTGGGTTGCGTGAGTGTGATGAACAGCGGGTCTTTAGATAATTCTGGTTTATCATTTTTTGGTTGTTAGGTATCAGGTGACTCACAACGTTTTAAACTTCTCGCTCTTTTTAACGGTGTAAAACTACACGAAATCTCTCAGCACAACTCTCGCTTGAGACTCCTTTCTTCTACGTAAGAGACATTTCTCTCAACTATATTCGCTCAACGCGCCGCTGGGCTTCTCTCTGCGCCTTCATCCGCTTTAGTCTTACTTTTCACCGACGTGCCCGCCGAAGTCTTTGTCCTCCAAGCTGGATGACATTACAACTCATATACAGATACGCAGATTCACTGTCTGCACTCTGTGCTGTTCAATGACAAAACATCACTTCCCCCATTTTTAACATCACACTCTACAAAATACCAGTGTATTCACAATCTACATTATGCTTACCAAAACTAATGACTTAGGTGGTGAACGTACTAGATAAAAAATTACAGAGAAATACGAGATAATAAAGATTCACACTACTTCGCGTGCTCGCCTGTCATTCAAATTCCACATCGAGCAGAGCTCCGCACTTGTCCTTGGCCCGAGCTACTGCGATTGCATCCGTTCTAGTCCTGCGGTACGCAAATAACTCTAAACCTCCAGAAAATATTAAACTTCACAATTTGATTCCGGGTCAGAGGCGGAGCAATTTGAGATAAAAGTTCAATGAAAATAAAATATCTTTATGGTTTCCACATACAAATATTGTGCTTTCAAATTGATAGTGACGCGGCGCTTCCAACACATCCGTAGATGCTACTTTTCGGCACCAAGACACGGTCCTAAAAAAGACGACTTTGGCTGCTGCACGAAACGCCAACACACCTCCACACACCCCAACAATCACCGGAAATGAAGCCAATAGAACATCTGAGGAGTTATCTGGGTTCAAAAGTTAGACTTCACGAGTACAACTGAACTCAAGGCAGTTTCAAAGGATGAATGTGAGAAAAAAATTGGTTGAGTCGACTTCCTAACCTGCCCATTTTTGCGAGTCTACGCCTTGAAAACTTCAGGCAGCAAATCATCTTAGAGAAAATCCAATAAAATATTAGGAATTAACTTTATTAACAATTATATCTAAATAAGGCCTCTAGGATGGCTCATAGGAAGCTTCCCATGGTGTGATTCCAGATTCGATTCTTGATTGTGGCAAAATAAAGTTGTAGCTTTCGTCTCAGTCTCTGTAGCTGTGTGACGAAGAAAAGAAGAACGTGAAGCCACTTAAACGCAATGTTGCAAAATATTACTTACTTAAAACATTCTCACCGTCAACATTCTTCCCCTCATTTGCAAGTTACACCTTCATTTGCTGGGCATAAAATTACTCGGCCAACCAACTTCCGAGCCTCACGGCAAACGTACTTTCTTTCATCGGTACAAAATTTCTAATTAAAAGTCCTAATTTAATTTACTTCATTTAAGGATGACAGATTACACATCAACAATCCACATAATTTTCCTCATTTCGGATATCTTAGGGCAGAAATCATAGTCGGTCCTTAAGGAGTGCTTAAGTATTAAGGAATGCTTAAGCAATAGGGGTACCTTAAAATGAGAGGTCACTTAAGAAGGCTTCTATTTCATAGACGTCTCTTATGGGAGCAGAAATGTGTTCCTTAAGGCATCGCAAATGTTGCAACGTTGCATTTCTGTCAATTGACCCAGTTTAACAGTAGTTTCCGTCGTTTCGTTGGTCGTTGACGGTAACCATGCGATTTCGCTTTGACTTGTGTTTTGGTGTTGAATTTATTTTCATTTGCATTTGCGCTTTATTGAAATTAAGCGCAATTTTACGAAGCTTATAAGGGTGAGCATTTTGGCGTTTTATCAGTTCGAAATGCAAAAAATCTTTCTATCTGATGAAACTACAAAATTATGTTACGTACCAACATTACTGAAATTTCATAAATTATTCGGCACAGACTAGCTTGACTAACTTAATAGAGATCTGCGCAATCTAAAAAATGATTAAATTTAATTTATATACATTTATCAGTTCTACAATAAAATTATCTAGAACATATAAAAAAATCATTTCTTTCATAAGATTGCATAAAATATTTCAAATATTTTGCAATCTCATAGAAAGAACCTGAAAAGATGAAGTTGTGTAAAATACTATTAATTAAATATGTTATTATTAGCATCTTCATTAGTGAAGATTTTCGTAAGCCTCTCTTCATTTCATTTCTTCTTTCGTCATTGAGAGGAACAAGATTATTTAAAACAGTGATTTTACGAAAACAAAACTACCGTCTGAATTATTCTTCGTTGTATATTTCCAGTGCATTATCAGCATCTCTGATACCCTTCGTTACACGGACGATATTTTGAGTGTAATCTCAAAATACTACAAGAAATCATCGTCGTTGTCTGCGATGTCGTGTAAAATTGTATGTTCGTAGACTTCACTTCACCAAAGCTGGTTAATCCTCTTGTGAATGAGGAATACTTAAGGCTACAGGCGACCTACCTTACGAATGAGTGGTTGCTCATTTATCACTCATTTGAAAATAAAACTCTATGAATCGGAATCTCTTACTTAAGGAACACTCATTATAGGAAACGACTATGAATTCGGCCCTTAATATTTAGTTTTTTAAATGATAAAGATGGATTTTGCTGTAACGGTTTTACCTGGATCGCTTGAAAACAATTTGCCCAAAATGATTTCATGTTTGATTGCTCATTAAACCGAAGTGGAGGTAATTTGGTTTGCCAATACGTTGTTCAGAACTCTTCACTATTTTTTACTTAAATTGTTCCATTGGACAAAAAAACTAAATTTTCACTTACTCATAAAGGTCGTACAATATCAAGTATACAATTGCCACACCTTTACCAATCGCTGTAACTTACCCCTTGATTTCCCACCCATACAAGTTCTTCTTGACGATCAAATGTCACAGTTGTTGCTCCAAATCGTTCACCGCCATCGGCGAACACAGTACGTGTCTCATGAAACTCGCCGCCATAATCATGTCCAAAGTGTGGACTCGTAGAAACGAAGTCATTAGTAGGCAAATCATAGGAGTCGCCTTGCACTTCATATGATGAAGCAGTATCGCCATACACTGCAAAGAAACAAAACGTCACGTCAGTGCAATGTAATAACATTAATTCACTGAGGGTTTAACAGTCCATTTAGCCTGTATACCTAATAACACCTAATCGTTAGTAATATTTCGAATCAGAATGTGTTGATTGGGATACACTAGTTAACAACTTCCACGGTTCATTTTATTTAAAAACTCAATGGCGACTTTTAAAGGGCTCGATAAGTGAACTTACAAGAACCAATGGTACTATTACAATACATGCTTTATCGCATTATTTCTAAATTTGCATTTTTCAAAAATCCAGAGTGAAACAAAAATTAGACATGCATCATTATTTCAAGCGCCTTTTTTTTCTCACTACCGCTTACGCAATAGATAGAAAGTTGTGTAATCTGCGAAAAAAACGCCTAATTTTCTGCAGAAAACTCTTATTACAGGGCCCTGGTAATGAAAAAGTGGATAAATCAATTTGCTATATTCAGAAAAAATCCTCTAACACAGAGTAGCCAGAATCCATGTTACGTCTGCCTGCCCGTCTATACATCCGTGTCTGTGAACAACGCTAGTGGCTACACCGTTCAGCCGATTTTCTCCAAAACTGATACAATCCAATCGATCTGGCTGATGTCGCGACCCCTTAAATTTGAAACACATATTTAATATTAAAGGTGCTTTGCATGAATCTGCTGGGACATTTTCGACATTTTCAAAAATTGGCTCCATCGTTTTTGACAATTATGTTGTTGGATAGAGTGAAGGTTGTTATAAGACAATGGTGCAGGTCTCATCTTCGCTGAACACTCATTTAATAAGCTAATTTAATAAAAATAGCAAAAATTCAAATTTCTTTCGGCGACTTCCCACAATAATTAAAGAGCTTTTCCCTTAATGAAATCTTTTCCTGAAAGGTAGATTTGGAAATAAGGTCATGAATAATTGTTCCACCGCTTTAGTACTTTACGCAAAATTTTGCGTGAAAAACCGACACTTTTTAATTTTGTTTAAGCATTTTCTCTCTCAAAAAGTGCTCCATCGTCTCTGAATACAGTTGGTTGTTCGATAGTGTGAAGGTTGTTTTAAGTGAACAGCGCAGGCCTCATGTTCGTTGAAAACACTGATTTTTCGAAAATTGAAAAAAATTCAATTTTTTTCGGTGTCTTCCTACAACTACAAGAACGAAGATACGTTTTTTTCTTAATGAAAAGTGTTCATAAAAACAGATCTAAAAATAATGTCATGTTCAATGTTTCGGAAACATGAGTATTTTGGGCGAAATTGTATGTCAAAGGCGATTTTTATTTGCTTTTAAACATTTTTTCTTAAAAACGGAATAAATTTTTTGGATTACGTTTGGACCTTAGATAGCGTAAATGACGCTGAAGAAAATGGTGCAGGTCTCATGTTCATTAAGATGCCTGATTTTTCGAAACTTTAAAAAAAATTAAAAATTTTTCGACGTTTTCATACAACTGCAAGTTGTGAAGATGAAATTATTTTTCTTAATGAAATGTGTTCATCAAAAACAGATCTTTAAAAAAGGGTTTTGTTAAATTTTTCGAAAATGAGTAATATTTTGAGTAATTTGGCGTCAAACTTAGTCGCCCGCTCCGAATACCCTTCGCCTCGTGAACTTAATGAGTGATTCTGGGTATTTGGATGCAACAAGTTCGAATTTTTATATTATTTCATATATCTTTGATCGTTTCTTACTTCCAAGTCTTTGTTGTACGTTTACAAATTAATCTTTGAGGAATTCTTTAAAAAATATTTGAAATAGTATATGAAATAAACATTTCTAGCTTTCAGGGAATAACAGATTGGAATGCAACAATGGAAATTCGCGTCGTGACTCGCGAATTTCTGTGAATAACTTCTCATTGTTGCAGGCGCGGCTCAACGGGAAGGGAAATGAGGGGAAATCCCCCCTAACATTTTTCTATAACTATTAATTTACACTTGTCACAAAACTTTCAAGTGATAATATTTTCGAATAATTATTAAAAAGAAATATATCGTATTTCAGCATGAGCTGAGTGTAGCATGCGACACTTTACAAAATCTGTAACGACACGTTCGACCAAAACATTTTTAATTTCTCCTTCCAAAATTTGTGTTTGGATCCGCCCATAATGATGTGACACGATTTAGCTGAATGAAAAGAAGTTATAATTGAAAAAAATTGTCTTTATATTTACTTGAAAATATTTAGTTTAGCACCAAATGTTCAACGATTTGTAATGAGTTGCAGTTTGCAGATTTTTTTTGAGAAAATAATTGTTTAAAAATTGCCCATCAAGAACATTGGTACTATAGTACGATTTATTTTAGTAAATCCTTTGACGTAAATCAGCTGTTGCGGCTTCATCTAATCGGCAGCTTAGGTGTCGCTACAGTGACGTCACTCTGGGGACGTTCAAGCTCTTGATTAGATGAAACCGTGAACAGCGTACGTTTACGTCAAGTGCATGCAAGTAATTAAATCCCAGTATACCTGTTGAATGTAAACACGAAAGTCATCCAACCCGATCTAACCTACGAGGTCAGCACGTAAACGCGCGTAGGTCCCAATTTTTAACTTATATTCCAAAACGGTGCAATATCCTCAACACAGAAGTAGCAGATATTAACTAATTTTAAAGGAAATTTAATTATTTATGTTATGTTCAAATGTATAAAAGTTACAGAATTTGAAATTTTTCAGCACTTTCAATTTCGTTTCTTGCGCATCCTGACGCCAAAATCAAAATTTCGGAAGCATTTTCCTTGTTTTACGCTCAGTCAACAACAAAATACTGGTTTGGCCCGAGTTGAAATTCCGTCGATCGAGTTCCGATTATGTTTTCATATATTTTTTAAATCTACATCCTATCATGTTGTAACATCAATGAATACTAAAATGAAGGATTTAAATAAAAATGGATATCTTTTACATTAAATTAAAAGTACATTTAAAAAAATACTGATTAAATTAAAAGTGATGGATTCCTATGCACAAATGAGATTAGAACCTCGAATTTCTAATTGTAATGTTAGGTCCATTTTTCAATAACATTGCAGATATTATTTGGATATTTTAAACATATCATAGATTCCATTATAATTTTATTTTAGGAAAATGATTTTTCTTTCTGTGAGATAGATTCTCGAAATTAATTATGACAATGTTTCATGATTTTACAATCTGAGAAACAATCTTTATATTGTCAACAAGTGCCTATTTAAACATTATAGACTAAAAATAACTATCCTGTGAGAGTTTAAAAATGTCTGTTTGGTATAACTGAATTATTGAGAAATCAACTAAAACAGAATTCTTGGGGAAAAAAAATAGATTGAAGGTGAAATCACAATAAAAAATTCCCAATTATTATGTCTGCACCCTTCACCAAAAGAAAAACAAAGTTCTTTCATACTACCAGTCACAAGTGTTGAAATAAGATCATTTTATGCATAAAAAATAGATAGAAACAAGTAATTTTTGTTTTAGCATTTACATTTATATCTGTACTTCTTTTAATATTCCATACTAACGTTTTTAATAAAACAGTTTGATGTAAAATAAAATGTATTTGAAAACACTATTTTCAAGTCTATACTACTTCAGATATTATACAGCCTATTTTCACCTTTTGAGAGTTTATTATAGGTGCCTATTGTAGAATTTAGAGCACAAATACAAGTGTTGAGGATAGGTTTAACATCAAAGTGTTTATGCAGTTTATTTATTTTTTCAGCTCCTATTCAAATATTACTTCCATATAATGCTAATTAATTTATTGGATAATCCCTTTGATCAAAGAGAAACTGCATTGAGAGTGACAACTCAAGCAAAGAAAACCCTTAGAAAATCAACATCATTTGCATTTGTATAACATTTAAGAATGAAAGCATCATGTCTGTTGCTATCAATAGTACATTTCAGTGTGAGGGAATGGGAGAAGATTTATGTCTGCTCTTGTCACTCCCAGTAATTTTTGGAATGGAAATTGTCTGTTCATTTAATTGCTCTTTCATTAATTTAGAGAGAAACAAAGAACAACAAAAATGCCTAATATTAACCTAATTTCCACTGTTAAATATAATCTTATGACAGAGAGATGTCTGAATTTTTAAAATGCCAGTAAAGATTTTATTAAACGTTTAATTTTTGAAATATGTGTATAAACAACAAGCAATGATAAGCACAAAGTAGCATCAAAATTCCAGAATTAATATTATTACAACATGGTAATTCACACAGAATGTTATGACAATTTTCTTCAGAAAAATATTTTCACATATGTTAAAGCTACATGTTCTGTACATTTACTAATATGCGATTACAATGTAGTCCGTTTAAATGTTTAATACAGTAATAAGAAGTCTATTTAGCAAAATTACAGCACATAAACATAACCTAATGGAGCACAATTCTCCAATACTCACATAGAATTTCATTAGGTGGTGGTCCCAAAGCATGATCAAAATGCGATATTCCAGGATACTCCATTTACACAGTTGTTTATATCAATTAATGAAACATTGAAAAAAAAAATTACAAACGCGACAAAACAACTTTCCACTCACACGCAACACACTCAGCTGGCTGGCATATTGACAGAAATACACGAACGACAGTTCCTAAACGAACCGTTCACAAAGATTCATTAACGAGAGAGACGATAATATGGCAGGAACTATGTCAGCTTTTGGCGGGAAAATGTTAAGTGGTATATTGTAAATACGTAAGCGTTTCCAAAATCAAAATTAGTAATTTTTACTATCTCATAAAGTACTTATGTAGTATACAGAAATTACTGTAATGCCGCGCAAAAAAGTGCTGTGATTTTTCGACAGAAAAACTCTTCTTGTGGGGCCTTGATACTGAAAAAGTAGATAAATTATGTTCCAATACGTAGTAAATTACATCCTTTACCGTATTGTGTAGTCAGAATTCACGTTGTGTGGGTCTCCGATACCGAAAAATTTGTTTACAGCAAAACGTCCATCTCCCAGTCCGTCTTTCAGTGACCAACGCTAGCTTTCACCAATTCCGCCCCCTCTCGATATTGTTGATGTCGCGGACCCTTCAATTTGAAACGGATATTTTGATTCGAGAGTACGTTGAAACCTTAACATTTTCAAAATTCACAAACTGTTTTGTTTCCTTTTATCATCAAATAGAACAAAAACACTCATAAAAATTGCGAGCATCATATTTTCAATTAATTATATTTTCGAAAATTATAAAAGTTTAAAAAATGTGCTTTCAGAACCTTTCTCCATCAAAGGTAGATCCTTTTTCATAATAAAATCTGTTCTACAAAGTTGGATCTTTATACGAGATAAGGTCATGTACGATTTTTCAAAAATCTGAGAAGTTTTCGTATAATTTGGTTTGAAATACGTGCAGTTCTTGCAAAATCATTTTCTCAAAACACCTCCAATTTTTACACTCTCACCCTTATTAACTTAAGAAGAGAAAGCATTGTTATCGTACGCCAGAACACTGCGAATTTTCGGCACACAACTCTTGCACGAATTGCCGGCCTCTGGTAATGAAAAAGTGGATAAATCCAGTAGCTAAATTTAGGGGGGGGGGGAATCCTCTAACACGCGGTGCAGCCAAAATCCATGTTTTGTGTTTTGTGCGTTCTTGATACCGAAAAATCGTAAACGACGGACAAACGTCTGTCCAGCTGTGCACAACGCTATCGCAAAAACCGTTCAACCGATTTTCTCCAAAGTTAATATTCCCCAATCGATCTGGCTGATGTCGCGAACTCTGGAATTTGAAATCGATATTTCAACTTTGGGGGAACTTTACATTCCCTTTCCCTCCCCCCGTTTCAGAGCAACAAGGCAAACTACCGAAATCAACAATACGAGAAAGCAGCGTCGTGCCTAGGGGCTGGCCAGATAGGCGGCTGCCAGAAGCGCAACCCTCAGGGGGGCGCACTTTGCAGACCCAGAGCCTGCGGGCTGTTGGTGCACAGGCACACAAAATTAAAACATGACACTAATTCACATAATAACTTGCACTCGATTAAGATAGGTGCCCACACAAATTAAGAAGTTTAGGATGCCCCAAGTTAACACACAAAATCTGTACCAAATCCTAAATAAAATATTTAAGAAAAATAATTCTTGATGGTCATTTCAATTTTCGTCACAAATTTGGGCTTGATCACAAATTTGGTAGGTCACATCTAGACCGAATCTGCGGCTTTGACTATTATTTTTCTAAATAAATCTACGTTCTTTCTACAGATTTAAAAGAAACTATTGAAGTTTTTTTTAAAACAACCATAGTCCAAACAATTTTTCAGGAGAGCAAAAAAACGATCCGGAACAAAAATTGGTAAGCATATGAAGTATGAAAACTGGTGTGCACTTTCTCAAGTTATTGTAAATACTGAGGAACTGAGATAGAATGGGGGATGTATGGACTAAAATGTTTGTTTCAAAAAATGAGAAATTTGTGCATCAAAATTATTTATTTTGGGCTGTAATATTACAATATTTTAATGAATAATCCAAGAATTAAATGCACTTAATCAATTTGGAATATTATTTATCAACTTATTAATCTTCGCCATTGATGTTATCATGACAAATTTGTTCTTCGATTAGTAATTATAATTTAGGGATTTTTAGGTGTGGAAACTTATGGAGCGTGAATACATTACATGTTCAAATAAGTAATAACATGTTATTAGTGTAAAAAGGAGATTATTAGAATATTACAATTCTGTAATATTTAATCATTACTATTACACATTATTCTAACCATTTGTATTTGCTTGCAAAAGCTATCAGCTGCGTTGTAAAATAAATATCCCAAATGAACTCCAAATGTTGCTTTAAAGCAGCGTTGGCAACACCGCACTGTTGCAAAAGCAGCCGCCGCAGCCGGTGGATCGTTTTATTTATTAACTTGTCATTCTTTTACTTTCTACCGTAGTACCCTGAATATTTAAAAGATAAAGTATGCATCGGATATGTTCGTGAATACACTGAACTTTTTCTTGTGGTCCGTAATTGGTGGGACATCTGTATACAGAATGTTCAATTTATCTGAAGACATTGAAATATCTCGAGAACCACTCATCGGATCAAAAACAGTGTGAAATGAAACATATTCGTCTCAAGGGGGACATCTAATGATACCAAACTCAATCCCCACTCCCTGGCGATAAGGGACAGACGAGTTTAAAAATTAATGAAAACTCCCATTTTTATTGCACATTCGGATTCTCCATAATAAATTACTCCAATTTGACCTAAGATTCCAGTAATTTTGGTCAAAGGTGGCGTTGTAATCGACAAAAATAAAAATTGGTAAAAGATCGTTGAAAATGGGAATATCTCAAAAAATAGACGTGAGATCAGCAAAATAAAATTAAATATGTTTGATACTCTAATGGAAAGGTCGCACGCTTCAGGTGAGGACGCGTGTTTTATGAAATTATCTTGAATAAAACGTTGCTGTGAATGATGCCAGGAAACATGCTGTTTTTCTCTACCTGCAAGCACTTTCAGGGCATTGGGGACGCTTTCAGGGCATCCAGCTCTATTGTGTCGGCACAACCCCCGCCCGGCTGCATCCGGTGACTGACGTGAAAATACGGACGCCGTTGTCTTCGAGCGCCGTTGCACCATTATCTCGGAACTTGGATGACGTTCCAGTTTCGCAGAATTTGGCAAGGCTCGGGCATCCGTCAACGACCCCGCGATTGGGCGGAAGAAACCGCACGACGCGTGCCCGCCAATCGCGGGAAATGAAGTGGGGGAGGGTCATGTGACCCGCGAAGCCGACGAGGCAGCTAAAATATGCTAGCTCTACCATTCCGATTCCGATTTCGATCAAGGACACAACTAGAAGTAGGTGCGCCTTGCCAAGGCGAGGGCGAGTATTGACTCACGGGGACGCCAGCAGATGCACGGCCGCATCGCCGCCGCACCACCGCCCGAATGCATTGCCGCATCGCCACATCACAGGCCACCTGTAGAAACGCTGACACTGAAAGAACGCAGTGGGCCACGACTGGGCGACGACAGTGCGGCGAAACGCAGCCTGCCGCCCCAACCTCCTTGCTGATGGACAAAGGGTCGAGGCGAGACGCAGACTGCCGCACCAACCTCCTTGCTGATGGACAAAGGGTCCAGGCGAAATGCAGCCTGCCGCCCCAACCTCCTTGCTGATGGACAAAGGGTCGAGGCGAGACGCAGACGGCCGGCAACCGCCGCTCACGCAACCGGGGTCGTGCACACCGGTGAGGACGCCGCCGGCCGCCCGACTGCCTTGTTGAAGAACAAAAGGGGAGGCGAGACGCAGCCTGCCGCCGATCGCACCACGCCAAACGCCGGGGCGCGGGGCCGCCGCTCCCGCGGGAAGGGCCATGACCGCCCGGAAGGACTCCGCTCGGTAGCCGATGATGAACTCTGGCCCGCACGGCCATATAAGTTAAGATTAGATATAAGGTAGCTATAAGAAATAATTTTAGCGTGAGGATTCACCTCTTTCGAGAAAGAACAATAAAACCACATTTTTAAAAATTAAACAATTTATTTAAATGTAGTTGTAGCATTAGAATTAGCACTATCATGCTTGCCTCCCTCTAGAGAGTCTGCAGACTGAGCAGCCGGGGCACCGCTGTATCGGACGAAATACAGGTAATCAGGTGAGTGGGGTCAGTCACGCGAAGGGTGTAGTTACAATATTCTTACAAATGCTACTTAATGACACCATAATTGTCCATTTACCCCCACTTCCGAGGAGTGAGGAAGCGAATAATGTCAAAATGTTAAATGGATTTCAATCTTTATCTCCAATTTTGTAGTTTTGAATTTTTTTCGAAACGAAAACTTTCGAAAAAACGAGCAATACCCGAAAATGGAACTAGCACCATATTTTTTACCGTCCCTTATTACATACGTGGAAAAAATTTAAAACATTTTGGAACGTTTTGTAAAAATGTTTTTAATTGTTTCTAAACCCCCCGGGATATTTTCAACGTCCGTCCGTCTGTCTGCCTGTCTAGCGCCTATTTTGCAATTTTCTTCGTAATTGGTACTCTCAATCGATATGAATGAACTCGTGACTTTGGGATTTTCAAATTGACATTTTCATTTTTCAGGGTGTTTTACATGACATCTGAAAAATTATTTCAAAGTTTTCTCTAAAACGGCGCCAATTTTTTTTATTAAATTTTGTTGTTGGATAGTTCGAAGGACGTTTATGAGAATGGTGCAGGTCTCATTTTCGTTGAAATTCCTAATTTTTGGAAAATTACAAAAATTCAATTTTTTTGCATCTTTCTACAATTATAACATTAAAGAAAGATTTTTACTTAAAAATATATTTCTTAAAGACAGATCTGGAAATAAGCTCATGTTCAACTTTTCGACAATAGAGTAAATTTCGTGTAATTTGGCGCAAAACAGAGGCAACTAATTTTTTTCTCCAAAACCGCTCCAAATTTTTTTAAAACTTTTCTCCAAATGTAACTAGTGGTGCTACCAAAGCACATAACTTATCGCATTTTTTTCTAAATGTTCTGACGTATTATACTATTACATAAACCAGCAAAAGTGTGTTCAACAAGCAAATTTTTCCGCTCTGAGACCCGAACCCGTCCCAAGAGTTAATTTGCCGACATTCCACTACACTACACAAGCGCGGCATGGGAGAGGACTTTTTCCTGTTGCTAAAGCAACAGGATATATCTACTTTTTCGTTGCCAGAGCCTGGCAATAAGAGTTTTCTGGTGAAAAATTGCCGTTTTCCGGCGTAAGGCGAGAAAGTGAAAAGAAAATTTCTCTCAGTATATATCTGACTGTAACTAGAGTTCCTGGCTACGAGAATATCGATATGCGTCTTTCCCGATATACAGATCGACAAACACTATTGTAACTGTTCACGTATTCACATTCGTGATATACTTCTCTGCCCACTCATATCAAGATAAAAACTGATTTCGCAGTGTTTGACACCGCCTGCACTATGCGTAGTAATGAAAATATCAGCCTAGTAAGTTCGATATCTCGATCGACCTGAAAGCACCGCTTCAAAGATTCACTATAGTGAATCGCTCCATTTCATTACAGATAGCTGGAAGAACAGGTCGTTTTCGTTAACAGAGGAGACGAAAGACCAGGAATCTATTTCAATATATTATATAAACCACACCAGATAGGCTCTAAATTCGAGGTAATTATTCTATTTATAGTATTGTTCCGTGTAATAAACTATTCGTGAAATTTTGAGAAGAAAATTTATAGAATTTATGACGGGAAAGATGTAAGTACGTGGAAGGCATCACGCTTATACGTTTTCTCTTTCACAACCTTTCTTTTTTACTTTTTTCTTAGTTTACATACTTTCTTTAATTCAATATTTTGTATACCATAATTCCAATCACCTAATCCATTGATGGAGGAAATATTACTACTTTAAAAAACCATGTTGGAGCTAATTTGCGGCTGGAGATCCGCCAGAACGTGCAATTTCGTGAAGAGGTGCGGCCCACGGACTACTAGAATTCTTCACAGAAGAATTTATCGCTCACGCCATTTGCCCCTCGAGTTTTCACAAAGTAAGGCACAACGTTTTTCGAATATTTAGTAATGTCTGGAGGTATTTTCATTGCGCCAGTGCCCGCTGTAAGTGCACAGTTCTCAGGTTAGAAAACTTTGTAATTTGTTCGTTCTGCAATCAGATCAAACTACCCTCTACCTGCGCTGGCCGCTCTGTCAAGGTCGCGTGTCGCGCGCTGTGTATACCGCAGATTCGTAGAGCAGAAGTAGAAAATTCAAACGAAGGTCAGTGGAATTACCGAAGGAAAAAGTTAGTAAATTTCTAAAGGAAATATTTGGCTTTCTAGAGTGTGAGAACAGCTTGCATATAATTTCCTATATCATTCATTATATTTCGAGCAAAATCTTTTGTAAATAATTTTATCGGTCACATGCGTCTTAAACCCTTGTTAACATGCAACCCTATAAGTTTAAGTGCACTTGTACCTACCTGTAGGTTAAAAAATGTAAAATCCTTAGCAACGGGTTTTAACATCCTTAGTAACCTGAATAAACAACCATCTATTCATCGCAAGACAACATTATTACGAACAAATCACATCGTAATTTACAAGACAAATAGTAATCAAAGAATAATATACCCACAATGAGGTTGGCTTATGTACCTGCGACTGTAAAACAAAACGTAAGACAAACTTTTGTCTTTATAAAAGGAATAAGTGTAAATTACCTTACCAAGTTCTTAACGTACGCAAGCGTAACATCATCTGTAATCACGACTACGTGATTTTGGAATTGCCAAGTTTTAAATTCTTCATATGCCTTCTCGTATAGTGCTTTAGATTTTTCAGGGATTAAACCTCGCTTGGCTTCCGCAGCTGCATCTAAAATTTCTTGAGGTATAGACGGATGTTCAGCGTCCATCTTTCTCGAGCCACGGTATACAAGTGTATTCTTGAAAGAGATATATCGCAAGCAATTCACAACAATATCGATTATCGTGCCACAACAACATAATTCGTGTGTTTCATATCGTAGTAATGTCGTAAATTTTCTCAAAAATGTGAGATTTTTATGTTGACCGATAAAACGCTGAACATGCCACGAAATGTTAGTGTTATTACTGCCTCGCCTAAATTAAAAATCTCGACTCCGCGTTAACTTTTGGCATCGGCAGTAATAACACTCATATCACTTCTAGGTATGTTAATAGATAGAGTTCTTAAAAGAAAAATGGGTGTGCAATATCACTGTAAATTCAGATTTATAAACATCTGTGTATATAAATTTTGCTTACATATAATTTTCTATTCTTAGGGGCTTCATAAATGCAAAAGCTCAAACTATTTCAATAGTAATTTAAATTGTCAAACAACGGTTTTATTTACTACAAGAGTAAAGATTGAAATTTATCAGGAGGTACTTCTGAATACTTCACTAGTCCACTTTTGTGTAAAAATTTAGATAGCACTGTTACAGTTAGGAAGGATCCTTAGGGACATTGTATAATGCAAAGTGTAAACAAGAGTGTATTTCTTCAAAGTGTTTCACATTTCTTTATTGCTGTGTGTATTCATATTCTTGCAGCGCTTCTTTTGTTTGTTTTGTTACATTTTTTGTTATTTTCATTTCTTTAAAGCGTATCTCTGTGAATTCAATTATGTTGTGTTTGTTAATATTTCAATAATGCCTAGGTATTTTGCTTTTGAATTTCTCATATACCATTACCTTTTCCCTAAGATCTTTTTTTTTACTTTCAATTTTTTCTTTGTGGTAAAGTAAAAATCTGATCCATAAGCCATTAGGGGATGACACACCCTCATTTGTAATAAACCACTGTGTGTTTTGTGAAGCCCCAACATGATACAGTGGATGCGGACCTCGCATGAGCAGGGTGTAGCAAAAAGCTTGCACTGGCGAAAGTGTGCGTGGGTGCACACACGCCGCGGGAGATCGCAGTAAAACAAGATCCGATTTCTGATGTCGACAGACTAACCGCGAACTATTGCACTCATAAAAAGGAAAGTTTCTATCAGTATATATTTGCTTGCAACAACATTCTTGTTAATTCTGCTACTCATGAGTTATTAGTTTCAATCCAGCCAATAGTGTTTTATATTAAGATGGTTATAAACGAATCACGGGCGCCCAAAATAGAGAAGTTCATACGTAGTTTTCGCTATCGTCTTCTCGCAGATGACGTTCAAACTTTTCTGTAAACTGTAGAAAAAATTCAAAAAGGATAAACGGTTAACAAATGTCCATATATTTCAGAGCTCCAGTTCGTACTGGCAACAATGCTTTGTCCCTTATAACCAAAAGATATACCATAATCAAAGCACTGTCGTTGTCACTAGCAGAATTATCATGTCACTGCCGAAGTCACAGAACACAATAGTGTGCACAGTCGACGAAGGCAGAACTATAAAAACTACCATAACACTTTGAAACGCGATCGCAAAACCCTACATACAGCTTTTTTTCGGCTTAGTCGAAGGTTTTTGTAGTTGTTACAGTTCGCACGCATTTCGCGTTTTACAACTATGTGTAAATGGCTGGTGTGGGTTCGCGTCGGACCTTAGTCAATAACCAAATCGGCTTTTGTGTTGCACTACGCCCTCAGAATATCATAGGGGAGTGCTTGTCTTTGTCCTATAGTGAGGACGTGTCTAGTTAACGGTTTCAGCGTTGCCGGGGCTTCGTTGGTTTGAATGGCTTGATAGGCTTCGTTAAACGAAAGCCTTCTCAAGCATTGAGTGAAGGACTGGATATAAAGTTCCATCCTCAGTACTTTCAACCGTTTCCGAAAGGGAGGGCGTGCTATGAGCCGTAGAACTTTGTTCAGTCCAGCTCAAGTGTATCCTTGTACTACTCTGCTGTGGTCCACCACGTTGCGGCAGTGTTGATGGCCACAGGTCGGCAACACGTTTTCTAGAGTGTCAAGCGAAGTTCCAAGGTGCCAGCCAGCTCCGTCGCCAGCGGCTCTTCATATTCTCCAGGCGACGTCATCGTTAGTGACTCGCCTCAACTTTGTGTTACAGTGGCTGCATCCTCTGCCTAGCGGACCTCCACAGCGCGACTTGCCCTGCTGCGCGCGCGCTAACTTTAAATTACTTTATGTAGCCATAGCACAAAGTGGCAACTATAAGTCATGGTAGCAAAAATATTTCGTGAAGTATCACAGATCGAAATTCACTATTTTTTTTTAAGAATCTAAATGTTAGAAAACAGAAATTACGTTTGAAGACAATTTGAGGATATTTGCAAGATAAGGATGTATGATCTGTCTAAAGAAACCCCCAGACATTACAAATTGAAAATATTTGTTAAAGAAATAAAAGTTTGTGCAGCTAATATGGGGAAGTTAAGTGGAGAAGTGTATAAAGAATGAGCCGTAAAAACAATTTGGAATGTAACCACTAAAAGTATCCAAAAATGATATTTTAATGAATACTGACGTGATTTTAACACATTTACAGATCAACATTTTAAATCTGCTTGAGACGTAAGAAACGCTAAGAGAATTCGGATCCAGCTTCTGTCAGTAAAAAGGATAATTCTACAGCATTAAGTGCCAAGGAATATCATTTGCCGACAGCCGGTTACCCTTTACGTACCGATGGGACGAATATTCAACCATAAACATAGGCCGTGTAAACACCAACACACTTGCGAGCTCTTCTGATCTGCAGTCAGCAGAACGCGAGACCCTCCGTGACAGCACAGACATGAAACACAAGCGCAAACTAACCATGCGCGAGGTGGGACCTTCGGATCGAAGTGCACAGTCAGTACACGCTCTTAGTCACCTCGAACATCCAGGTCGTCTAGTAATGATTTTACCTAGAAAAAATCGATTACATGAAACGAAATATTGTAGAAAGAAGACTATCTACAAAGTAGATCAAGCACAAAGTATATTATGAACAGAATAAATTGTAAACGAAACACTGTACAAAGTATATTATGTCCAAAATTTAATGATAAAAAGTAGGTTATGTATAATTAAGTCTGTCGCTCTAGGAATTCATGTTTTGAAGGTCTTATTCTATCGTAACGAGTCGATTCCGACGTATCGAGATCGGTGAACGAAAGCGAAGAACCATTGGTGGATATGGAAGCATTGTATTTTGTAGTTCAAATGAGAATGGCACGTTTTAATTAATTAAAAAAATTTTAGGCATAAAATTATGCTTTGGACAGCCTCAATGTTTTATAATAACCACATAGGCCGAAGTCCGGAACGTCATCACCAACTTCGGCAGTGTCCGCGAAGTGTCAAATGACAAGTTAAATGTGTTTGACCAAAAGTAAATAAGTTTGAATAAAAAGCGTTGAAAATTACGCGTTGGACAGACTGAAGGATGTTTCAACTTATTTACGTAAGTCGAAGTCCAGGCTTCAGCGTGAAATTGGACACGTGTAGCGAAGCTCCACTGTGCCTTAAACTTTTGAGGACTAAGTACAACGCTATTCCGCTCGCATACACATACTGTCGTTTGCCATGTTCTCGGGAATGTGAGACGATTCTCTTGTGTTTTACGATAAGGAGGAAGTGCCTTTTCTTAACCCTTTCAGTCACCAACTTTTTCTACCTAACCAAAAATTATGAAAATTGGCATAGGAAAATATTGTTTTTTATATTTTTTATGGTATAATAATTTGTATATATAT